GCATGTGTACCAATGAGCCAGAGAGTTCTAGAAAAAGACATAACTTTTCCAGAATGCCAATTTTACCTGAAGACTTAGAGATGTACATTAATTTTAAATAAAATAAACTTGAATATGTTATTGAGTAAGACAGAAACTAGCAAGAGTTTCTTTAAAAAGTTGGTATTTGAATCAGGTTTTATTGGACAACCCCCACATCTCAAGGGTCATCACTTTCAAGGATGATAAAATATAAGAGGTTTAGAGACACATTACCTTACATGTCACACATTTTTAAAGCAGCACCGCCCATTATGCTAACCAACCACTACATGTGGTTATTGAGCATTTCAATTGTGGTCAATGAGACTGAAAAACTGAACACTTAATTCTATTTATTTTAGTTAAAATTAAATAGCCCACATGTGGCTAGCAGCCCCTGTATTAGACAGCACTGATATAGAACATTTTGTCTTGGCAGAATAATGGCCTTCCAAAAATATCCTATGTCCTAATCCCCAGAACATGTGACTATGTTACAATACTTAGCAAAGGGGAATTAAGTAAGCAGATAGAATTAAAGTCAATAAACAATTTCACCTTAAAATAAGGAGATTATCCTGGATTATCCATGTAGGTCCAATGTAATCACAAGCATCCTTAAATGTGGAAGAAAGATGCAGAATAGCCAGTATGTTATGATGTGATGTGGGAAAAACTCAACAATCATTTCTGGTTTGAAAATGGAGAAAAGAACCACAAGCCAAGAAATTCAGGTAGTTTTTTGAAGCTAAAAAAAAGGCAAGGAAATCAATTTTCCCCTAGAGCTTCCAGAAGGAATAGAGCCCTTCTGATACCTTTGTTTCAATCCAGTGAGACCCAACTTGGACTTCTGGTCACTAAATAAGTTTATGAGCTTTAGGTCATTAAGTTTGTGTAATTCATTATGGCAGTAGTAGAAAACTAGTACAACATTGTTACAGAAACTTCTTTTGAATGTTGTCATTCTAGAATCATTTTCTACAGGATGTTTTACAGCAAATCAAAAACCTTGCTATCTCAATTAATTGTAACACCAATTTTATGAGGCGAGTATTATCATCCCCACTTAATAGATGAGAAAACAAATACGCTGAGAGCTTTTGGTGATTTGGGCAAGAGTAGGGCTTCATATCCAGATCCAAAGCCCTGTACTACCTCTCCCCTGAGTCCACTGCACAGAGAGGCGCTGACTCAGTTGGACCAGGCTAGCCACAGGTAGGTCCAACTCCAACGCAGTAGGAGCAGGGACTCCTACTACCATTCCTCTCTCAGTTCAAGTCTGAAACCAATGCCCTTTCCTTGTTTCCCCTTAGCACAGCTGAAAGAAGTAGTTGGATTAAACAGCATTAACTAAAATACCAGTGAGCTGGGGAAAATGCAAAAAGGATCAGACAGAGACACAAAGGGATTTCACCCCAAGAATCTCAGTAAAACCATAAAATGAATTCTACCAAACCTTCAAAGAGGAACTAAAACCTACACTACTCAAACTCTTCCAAAAAATCAAAGAGGGTGGAAAATCCCCAATACATTCTATGAAGCCAACATTACCCTAATCCCAAAACCAAACAGACTGTACAAAAAAAAAGAAAACTATTGACCAATATCCCTAATGAACAAATTCTAAACAAAATCCTAGCAAATCAAATATGGCATTATATTAAGAGAATCATCCACCATGACCAAAATAGTTTCATCCTGGAGATGCAAGACTGTTTCAACATATACAAATCAATCACTAATTGACTAAAGCAATCTTAAGAGAAAAGTAGAAAAATAGGGGTATCACACTTCCTAACTTCAAACTATACTACATAACAACAGTATGGTATTGGACCAAAAACAAACTCAGATCAATGGAACAGAATAGAAAGTCCAGAGATAAACCCACACAAATATGGAGAATCTTGGACAAAGGAACCACAGCCACACAATGGAGGGGGAAAAAAGCCTCTTTAACAAATGGTGTTGGGAAACATGGACAGTCAGATGCAAAAAAAAAAAAAAAAAAAAAAAAATGAAACTAGATCCATTCTGAACTCCATACAGAAAAATTAATTCTAAATAGATTAAAGGTCTGTATATCGGAAGTGAAACTAAGAAATCTTCAAAGAAAATATAGGGGACACAGCACAGGGCATACACCACAAAAACGTATTCATGGATTCAACTCCAATGGCAAGGAAAACCAAAGCAAAAATAAACAAGTAGGACTATGTCAAACTAAAAAAAATTTGTACTTCAAAAGAAACTACCACAAAACAAAAAGGCAAACTATTTGTGCATAATACATATCTGAGAGGGGGCTAATTTTCAAAATTTACAATGCAATAATAAAATCCAATAATAAAAAGACAACTCAATCAAATAAATAATGGGCAAAAGACCTAAATAGACACTTTTCAAAAGAAGACATTCAGATGTCCTACAGATACATGAAAAATTGTCCAACATCACTTATTATAGGAAAATGCAAATTAAAATCACAGTAAGATATCACCTCACCCCTGAGAACAAATGGAAAGAACAAACAACATTTGCTGGTTTCCATTCAGTAAAGTAAAAGGAACTCTCATCTACTGTTGGTGGAACACAAGTTGGTGCAGCCTCTACGGAAAATGGTATGGACATTTTTTAAGAAAATAAAAATGAAAATCTGTCTGATGCAAAAATTCTGCATGGTGCAGAAAGTTAGGTATTTATGCTAAAAATATGAAAACTCTAATAAAAAGGAAGATTTACATACACCTATGTTCACAGCAGCACTGTCCACATTTGCCAAGTTATGGAACCAACCCAAAAATGGATCAAGAAACTGTGCATTATATACTCAATTGAATACTACATGACTGTTGAAAAAGATGAAATAGTGGCCTTTGGGACAAAAATGAATCACCTTGAGGTGATTTAAGTGAAATAAGTCAGAAAGTCAAAGATATAGGATGGTTTCACTCATCTCTAGAATATAAATATCCAAAAAAAAAAAAAATACACACGGGGAAAATACAGCAGGAATAAATCTTAGACTTAGTGAAAGAATGGTTACCAGAGGGAAAAACAGAGTGGATGAAGAAGGGGATGGAGGAGAGAGGCAGATGGGATATTGGCATGAGTACTTTGGTAGAGGGTGAATGGAACATATGCACATATGTAGAAGCAAAAATGCAACCCAAAAATTAAAGGGGAGGAAAATAAACCACTTTGCTGGGCCTCAAACCTCCCCTCCAGTAGCTACACTTGAACCAATATGCAAGGCTTGGTGCAACGTTATTTATTTGGAGTTATTCATGTTATTTACTTGGGGTTCTTACCTATGGACTTCCCTGACCCTAGATCAAAATTATAGCTTGTTTTTATCCCTTAAAATGTAAGGGGTAGCTATGGAATTAATCCATCAATTATTGTCATCTAGACTACAGTCAGAAACAAACTCAGTTCCTACTTTTTCCTCAGAATACAGGGGCACCCTAAGAAATGATCCTATACATGCTGACCAAGTAGTTCCTAACCCACCCAGTCCCATGATCCACCCTTCAGGTTCACTCTCCCCTTCTCCACATGCCCCACCCTTCAGGGACATGGTCTTTTATAATTAGAGTTTTAATATTTAAAATTAGTTTATGCATACAGTGACCACAACACAAACAGAGAGCAGAAGATTATTCTTTCACAAGGTCTTTCCTAGTATTTATACAAGTCTTCCTAATATAGCTGTCTGTTTAATAAGGGTGGTCCAAATATGCTTTAACTCCTTAGAACCTAGAAGTGTACAAACACATACTCTAACTCTTATCCCTAGAGATCCCCATCTGCCATTGCTCCAAATGAAAAACAAGATCTTTAGCAAAAGCCAGTAACAAAATATCATTAAGCACTATTATTATTTTTGCATATAAAAATATGTTTATTTAGCTCTTTTTGTATTCCAAATGACTAATTTCTCTGCATAATGAAAAACATCAGATTATTAGATCATACAGATTGGACATTACCAGATTTAGAAAACAACATAATTTTTAAAGGAGCTGATGGATAATATGCACTAACCCTTAATGTCAAAGCCAAAGATTGAAATTCTGTACAAACGCACAGATCCATTAAGAGTCATTTTCAATTATTAAGAAACAAAGATCTGTAGTCTTTGTAGAAATTAGAAATGGCAGAAAATAACATCAACATTCATAAATGCTACAATTAGGACCAATAAAATTTTTAAATCAAATTAAAATTGGAGTGATGATAATAAGAGCAATGAAATTTATGTAGCACCATGTGGTTCTACTTCCTCAAAGAAGCCCCTGAGTCCATTATTTTACAGGAATGAAGAAATCAGTAGTCACTGTTTGCATTTTACAGGACACTGGAAGAAGATTCACCTCTACCAACAAGGAAATGGATTGAAGATCTTCACATTCTGCTTCTCCACACCCTCATAAAACCCAGCCCCTCTGCTTCACACAATTGTCAGTTCTAGTGGTGGGACTTAGTAAATACACACCCTCAACTCCAAAAATTATGTACACAAATTCTACTTTAATTTTTTCATTCAAATTCAAAAGATTCACAACCCCAGGCAGACTCTTAAGGGCCCTATAAGCTAATTCTAATCTAAGAAACCTGCTTTAGGGCCTCCCCGGTGGCGTAGCGGTTGATCGCTGGGTTGCGAAGCTGCCCGAGGCCTCTGCGACGCCGGTTCGATCCCCGGCTGCTCCCCCGCCACCGGAGGAGGGTCCCACATGGCACGCAGACCTTTCCTGCCGCCTGCTGCTCCCCTCAGCAGTGTACTTCGGTCCTTCTGCCTGCTCTGCTCCCCACTCTGGCTCTGGTGAATTCTCTCGCCCTCCCGCGCTTCTGACTGTACCCAGTGCATGTATAAACAAAATGAACAAAACAAACAAATAAATAAATAAATAAATAACATGCCTCTATAAAAAAAAAAAAAGAACATATAATTTAAAAAAAAAAAAAGAAATCTGCTTTAGATTTATTTTACTTTTCCTTGATACATGGGATTAAAATTAACTGGTTTCCCAGACAGGGAAAGAAAAATACGGTATTGTCTTGCTTATATGTGGAATCTGAAATAATATCACAAAAGCAGAGGTAGTTGCTAGGAACTGGGAGCCGGGAAGTGGGAACATGAAGGTCAAAGTATATGAAGTTACAGTGACGCAAGATAAATAAGTTCTGGAGACTGACAATTCAACACAGTGCTCACAGTCAACAATTCTGTGATGTATACTTAAAATGTGCTAAGAAATAAATCTTACATTAAGTGCTCTTATCATTAAAATAACAACAACAACAATAATAATAGAGGTGGGGAGAACGGCTGGAAAAAGATAGATATGGTGATTCAGGCCTCAATGGTGGTGAATGTTTCACAGAAGCATACAGTGAAAATTAATACACAGAACCCCTATTTAGGTACGATCAGGCAGCTAAAAAAGAATTCTCACACTTGTAGTCAACAAACGCCAGGATCCAACCTGCCTTGCACCTCCAACAGAAAATGATGTTGCTTCCCCACCCCAAAAGAAGGATGAAGTAGGTTGCTCTTGGTGTAGTAACATCCCTTCTGAAAGCTACAGAAGGTGCTGGCTTGAGGCTGCACTTTCCAAATTGACTTTTTGTTGTTTTTTTCTAAATGAACCCATTTTGTTGATGAAATAACTGATAACTTTTTTTTCTGAGGTTAACAATAGTTATCCCCAAACTCATGGAGTTTTATACATGACACATATACAGCTTGAATGTCAATCATACTTCAATAAAATGATTTTTAATTCAAAATTAAATTAAATTAGCAGGCTTCCCTCCCAGAAGTTAAAGCGCAAAGGAACGCAGTGTTACTAATTGATGTTGTTGGGTATATTGGCCATATCAAGACAGGGAGAGACCTAGAGTGTTACTTGGCCAGAGAAGAGCTTGATGAGAAAGAATATATCTGCATGGAATTATCACTGGGCAGGGTATCTCATGCATTAGGCTGTCCTGACACTGTTCCTGGATACTGATACACCTCATCCTAACCTGAGTGTCCTGGACTCAGTTCATCCCCATCACACAAGACGGGATTTCTTATCTGATGCATGTTTCAGAACTAAGAAACTGTAGCAATCCATGAATGGAGACGGATTGTCCCTTCTTTGTGGGTCTTGTTTCACACATATCTTTTCATCAGTCCACTCCAGAATGCTCCCTCTCTTCCCGACAAGGATTTAAGTCACTGATGTAGAAATCAGGGATAGTGGGGTCAGGAAGGGGTAACATGAGAAGAAGGAATTATCTGGTGCCCTTCTGTTGTAGCAATTTGTCAGCCTAGGCAAAAAAAAAAAAAAAACCTGTCACCATAAGAGAAGGATGAGAAGTTTCGCAGGAAAAACTTTCTATCAAGAAAAGCATAGCTATCACCAAGATTTCTAAATATCATATCCACAGTAATGTCTTCCTGCCATTTCTCTTTAACTATTAGATCTCTCCAACTATGGTTGTTTACATTATATTTTTGAGATGTTTCAATTTTTGGTAAGGAAACATTGAATATATAAGAAATAAACTCTAAACACAGAACAAGGGAAAAAGGCCAACAAGGGAGCTGAAGGGGAACAAGCAGGTGAAGCCAACAGGTGTACTGGGAGTCACCTACTGTGAATGTTATTTTGAAGGATGAATTTATTTATTTTCTATAAAAATGTAAAGAATTTGCTTTTATAATTTTTATTGCAATAACATTGCATTATAAGATTATATACATTTCAGGGATGCACCATTATATATCAGCACTTGTATAAACTATATTAAGTTTTCCACTAAAAGTCTAATTCTGTCCTTCACCAAACAACAGACCTCTTTCATCCGCTTGGCCCACTCCCCTCCCCCCTTCCTTTCTGGTAACCACTAATTTGGTCTTAAAGACTAAAAGTTTATTTTTATCTTATTTAGTTCATTTGTTTATTTGGTTTCTCTATATACCACTTATGAGTGAAATCAAACTGTGTTTGTCTTTCTGTGTCTGACTTATTTCATTGAGCATAATGCCCTGTAAGTTCATCCATGTTGCTGCAAATGGCAGGATTTCATCTTTTTTTTAGAGCTGAGAAGTTAGTATTCCATTGTGTGTCTGTGTGTGTGTGTGTGTGTGTGTGTGTGTACACGCGCGCACGCGCATTATCTCACATCTTCTTTATCCAGTCATTCATCAATGAGCACTTAGGTGGTCGTATATAATGCTATAACACAACTTGGTTATTGTATATAATCTTATCTATTGTATATAATGCTGCATACGGGAATGCTATATATGGGAATACATATATCTCTTTGAATCAGTGTGGGGTTTTTTTAATAAATACTCAGACATGGGATGATTAGATCTTCAGAATTTCTACATTTAATTTTTATATTAATATTTTTGTTGAGGTAATACTGGTTTACAACATTGTATATGATTTAGAGGTATAGGATCACACCCTTCCTGTGTCTGTTACCACAGCCTACCCACCACCAAGGCACCATAGTACATTCAATTTTTTAAAGAACCTCCACTGCTTTCCATAATGACTGCATCAACTTACATTCTCACCAACAGTGTATGAACATACCTGAAGGATGAATTTCAAATGAAGCCTCTTGTGGAAGAAAGGTTTAAACGCCTATAAATCAGGGGTCCCAATTCAGAACTACTACTAAATTCTTTTTTTCCCAATATTTATTTATTTATACAAGAACTGGAGGGTGCAGAGGGTGACAGGATTCACCAGAGACAGAGCAGGAAACAAAACAGGCAAACTGACTGAAATACACTGCTGAAGGGAGCAGGGCAAGACAGGAAAGGTCTGCCGAGCCATGTGGGTATCCCCGTGGCCGGCAGGGATTGAAGCGGCACTGCAGAGGCTGTGGACAGCTTCATAGCCCTGCACTCAATCACCTGCACCACCAGGGAGGCCTGCAGAACTGCTATTAAATTCTACTGCAGATTCTCAAAACTAAATTCATTTCATTTCATTTTAATTTTAAAAACAAATACTTTCAGTTAGGTGGTGGTGTCAGGAGAAAAAAAAAGGATTGTGCACCAAAAGATTTTCAAATTCCTGCTCTAGAAAGTATTAAGAGCAGTTTTTCTCAAACCTGGCTGTACACTGGAATCTCCTGGGACCCACTCCTAGAAAGTTTTATTTAATCTTGACTCTTGACACCCAGGCATCAGCATTAAGTCTGAGAAACTCAGTTCTGAAAGCTTTTTATAACAAATGTGTACTTAAGCATTAAATATTTTCTTTTTTTTAAAGATTTATTTATTTATACAAGACCCAGGGTACAGGCCAGACGTGCAGGAGGGTGAGAGGATTCACCAGAGACAGAGTGGGGAGCAGAAGAAGCTGACTGACTGAAACACACTGCTGAGAGGAGCAGCGGGCAAGACAAGAGAGGTCTGTCATGCCACGTGGGTATCTCCGCGGCCGGTGGGGATTGAACCAGCACTGCAGAGACTGTGGACAGCCTCACAGCACTGCACTTAATCACCTGCACCAGGGAGCCCCCAGCATTAAGTATTTTCTTTTTTTTTTAATTTTATTTTTATATTCCCCATATAATTGCAACCCCCTTATTTTGACCCCAATCCCTCCATTCCCCCCCACCCCCCATAGAGTGTCTCTGGTTCATAGTTGTTTGTTGATTTTGATTTATTTTTATTTTTTCTTTCTTATAGTTATTCTTTTTCCTGGTCTCTTATTTAAGTTTTCTAGATTCCTGCTATGAGTGAGATCATCCTGTATTTTTCTTTTTCTTTCTGGCTTATTTTGCTGAGCATGATCCCTTCCAGCTCCATCCCTGTTGCTGCAAATTGCATGTGATGAGACTCAACAAAAACAAAGAAAATAATCCAGTCAAAAAATGGGCAGAAGAGCTAAAAAGAAACTTCTCTGAAGAGGAAATGCAAATGGCCAACAGGCATATGAAAAAATGTTCAACATCACTTGTCATCAGGGAAATGCAAATCAAAACTACCATGAGATACCATCTTACACCAGTGAGAATGGCACATATTAAAAAAAACTAGCAACAACAAAATGTTGGCGAGGGTGTGGAGAAAGAGGAACTCTCCTGCACTGCTGGTGGGAGTGCAAACTGGTCCAACCACTATGGAGAGCTGTGTGGAGATTTCTGGACCTACTAAACATAGAGCTTCCATATGATCCAGCAATTCCACTCCTAGGTATTTACCCAAAGGACACAGAAACATCAATTCCAAAGAGCACGTGCACCCCTATGTTTAAAGCAGCACTGTTTACAATAGCTAAGCTTTGGAAACAACCCAAATGCCCAAAAATAGGTGACTGGATCAAGAAGATGTGGTACATATACACCAAGGAATATTACTCAGCATTCAAAAAAGAAAAAAGTATTTCCTTTTTTAACTTCTCAAGAATCATGTTCAAGTTCTTTTTGCTCCTGACTTCTCACTTAAAGTTCCTACATCCTCAAGCGATCAGCGAGAGGAAAAGAGATGGAACATGGGACCTCCCCTGTAGCAGTGTTTCCCAGAGTCACAAGCAAGAGGTGGAGTTGAGGGCAAGGATGAGATGCACAATTTCATGCCTCCCCATCCACATCGCTGCTCACACCTGCCCATTGTCTCAAAAAAAGGATGTGATGACTGAAACTCATTTACCTCCCCATTATTCCTGCATTATCATTGTTTGAAAATGCCATTTCTCTTTAATTACCCCTGCCTAAAATAAATGAAGGCAAGAGGAGACAAAAAAGCTAATGCAACATTCCAGCAGGGCCTGGGACTTTCTTAACATCATTGTGGTGATGTGTTATAAAATGCAAATTGCAGAAAGGGGGCAGTAATTTGTTAATAAACATGTTAATTAGGCAGAGCAAATGCCATTCTGCATGGAGGAGAAAAAAATTCACCCATTGTAAATTCCATGCACAGCAGATTTCAGAGGGCAAAATGTAGTTAATAAAACTACCTTTATGTTTTATCTTCCTGCTCTCAAGCATAAATAGCTAATAACCAATTTACATTAATGGCATGGGCACAAATGTAAATTAGCCCCTTTTTGGTTTATATTACTGCAATGTAATCCTAATGCTAAAGTGTTGCATTTGGCAATTTCATTAAGAGAAAGATCTGAGAACCCGATACAGTCCTAAGGCCTGCTTCAAGGAATTTTAATATGAAACCAAAATTACACTGCACATCCTTGTTCACCACGTGGGAATTTCCAGAACGGGCTCTGCTATCAAATATTTTCCCTATCCATGACTAAGTCCACAATCCCAAGCTCCTGTGGGTGTTCAAAATGTCCTGCTCGCCAAAACTCGCCTCCCAAGCCCAGGGTTGCAACAATATGGTCCTTGTGCAAATGCAGTCTGGACTTTTGCTCGATTTTCTTTGCTTGCCGACCAGTAGCCGCTCTGACTTGACAACAAAGAGACCCCTGTATCAGCTGGACTTTCATGGATCCAGGTGGCTGAAGGGAGGAAGACCTTCAGGGCCTTCTGAGACTGTGTTCCAACTAGCCACAAACATCGAATGCAAGTGCTAGCAAAAGTTAACAACACTCATTTGTGCAGCCTGCACCAGTGGAAGTTTTCCATTTCTGGCTTCATTCATCTATAACCTCTCCTACTCACAGAGTCTTTCTGTAGTCATGCTGTGCAAGCAGCTACTGTATATACCAAAAGTTAATTTTACTACACACTTCAGTGTGTCGCCAGAGGTGCTATAAATCACGAACCAATTTCCAATTTTGTCATGCCCTACTTGATAAGGATGTGAAGCATTCTTTCCCCTGATATACATGTTTTTAAACATGAGGATTAGAAGCAGGAACCCATCTCTTGATGTTCAGTGAAATACTAACCTTCCTTTTCAAGAAAAGTTGACCCCTGCAGGTCCTATTAGATTAAAACATCAATGCATGCTTTCTTTAGTTTGGATTTTGGATCCAGAAGCTGCATATAGGACTTTATGCTGCAGAATATCTCCTAAGAGAAGCTGGATTTTGAGGGGGTTTTGGTTTTCTTTTTGTAACTTTAGCAAATAAATCATTTCAGATGAAATACAGGCTTAGGAGGCAGTTTTATTCTACTGTGCTGCATTTTTTAAAGATACATGGTAAGATTCATACACTCATTCTTGGAGGTGGAAAAGGAGACTATAGCATTGCTTCCACAACTTTTAGTCTTAATTCAAATACTTTGAGAGCTAGCCCATTTCAACTGTGGGTTAATCTAATTATAATGGGTTGCGGGGGTTGGTTTTGGTGGGGTTGGGGGTATTTTGCATTTTTTTGGTATAT